TTTTTTTTAAATTTTATTTATTTATTTATGTGTGTGTGTGTGTGTGTGTGTGTGTGTGTGTGTGTCCAGCTCAGCCCACCAGGGGGGCGGGGCTTGCTGGCATGTGGTGCTGGGGGATTGAACTGTGGTCCCTGTGCTTTGCTTAGCTTGTTCTAGGTAGGTGCTTTAGACCACTAAGCCATCTCACCAGCCCTTTCTTTTTTCTTTTTTTGGTACCAGGAATCAAACTCAGGACCTTGTGCTTGCCAGGCAGGCACTTATACTGCTGAGCTGTCACCTCAGCTTCAGCTACTCTCACTCAATTATGTGAACAAGCTAAAAGGAAAAACTCTTCTGCATAGCTCCGCAGCACAGCGCCCGCCTGGCAAGCACAAAGTCCTGACGTCAATTCCCAACACCGAAACAAAAACAAACAAACAAACTGGTGATCCTCCTGCTTTCAGCCTCCCCAGGGCTGGGATTACAGGCAAGTGCCACCATGCCCAGACTCTGTGGGCTCAGCCTACCCTGGGGGTGAAGTTGGCGTGGCATGTGGTGCCAGGGATTGAACCATGGTCCCTTGCACTTGGCTACACTTGCCTAAGCAGTGCTTTAGTCCGCTGAGCTATCTCGCTGGCCCAATTATTTGATTTCATGATGATAGTCATTCTTTCTGGAGTAAGATAGAATCTCTGGTTGTTTTAATTTGCATTTCACTAATGGTCAAAGCTGTCAAACACTTTTTGTGTATTTATTAGCCATTTATACTTCCAAGGAAGTGTCTATTCATATCCGCTCCAGCCCCCTTCCTGTCCCCCTCTTGGACAGGAGCTTTCTTTCTCTCAAATATATTCTGCTCATTAAAAAAAAAGTGTCTATTCATTTCAATTGCCTGTTTTAATTGAGTCTTTTATTGGGGAGGGTAATTATTTTAGCTCTTTATATATTCTAGATATCAGTCCACTCCCCAGATCTTCATGCCTTACCAGACCTGCCCTTAAGGCATCCTGAGCCAGAAAAAAAAAAAAAAGTCAGTCTAGATATCAGTCCTCTATTCAAGGAGTAGCTGACATTTTTTTCTTTTTTTGTCATTCTGTAGATCACCTATTTTGTTGGTTGTTTCCTTTGATGTGCAGTTTTTAATTAGCCATAATCCCATTCATTGATTCTTCATGTTATTTCTTCTGCACCTAGACTTTCTGAACCCAGAACCATTTGATAAAGAGGCTATTTTTCCTCTAGCGTATGTTTCTGGCTACTTTGTCAAAACTCAGCTGATTGTACCTGGCATTGTTTCTGCATTTTTTCTTCTGTTCCACTGACCCAAATGTCTTTTTGTGCCAGTACCATTTTGGTTTTATCATTGTTGCTTTATAATATAGCTTAAAATCTTAGGTTGTGATGACTCCTCTTGTGGCCTAGGATTGCTTTAGCTCACCTGGATCTCTCCTGGTTTCATTCCAGCCACTTCCAGTTTCTGTGTCCCTCTATGTACCCCAAGTCACACATTTCTTCACCTAGATGTATGGCCTGTGGGTTTACGAGGTTCCCTCCACCCCACTCCAAAGGCCCCCCATCCATATATCTCAGGCTGTAGCAGTCATCCAAGCCAAGGCATATCCCTGACCATATTGGCAGATGGGGAAAGCAAACAGACCCTGAACTCTGTGTTGGACGTAGGCAGTGGGTGGAGGGACGGCGAGTCAAGCAGTTCACTGGAGTTAATGCCAGCCCTTCCCAAAAACCACACATGCCTGACCTGGCTTCTCAGTTCAGAGGGTGAGACCCTCTTGTCCTGAGCTTAAACATCTCAGGTGTCTATGCCCTCTCCCATCCAACCACTGTGGTAGGGTTACCCCCCAAACCTTGATGTGCGGTTGTTCTGTCGCTTCTGATTCCTGGAGTAGCTCATTCTCCAATGAGTCACTTCCCAAAATGGCTCTTGGTTAAACACTCGAATATGTGGGTGCTGCACCTCCCTCTCTAGCCTGCCATGTGGAAGGAATCACTTTTAGGGTAAAACTTCAGGCTGTTTTTGCAGTTTATCATATCTGTCTTAATTACTTTTCTCTCTTTGCTGGGAGAAAACCAGACATCTAAAAGTTAAAGAGGGGCCGGGGAGATAGCTCAGTAGAATAAGCGCTTGCCTGGCAAGCACAAAGGCCTGAGTTCAATCTCCACTTCTGCAAAAATAAAAGTTAAAGAGATAAGGTTTATTTAGCTCATAGTTTGCACGGGTTTCAGTCCATAATTGGCTGGCTCCAAGACAGGGTAGTACATGGCAGAGGGGCAACAGCTCCTGGCAACAGAAGACAGCAAAAGCAACAAGAGCAAACAGGAGAAACAAGCATCTTTCTGCCCCTTTTTGCAGATCCAGACTGCTGGGATTAGGACAGTGACAATCCAATCTGTGGAGTGACAGCAATCACTGTGCCTTAATCCTACCATTGTACTGTGAATCAGTCACAAACTCTAGATTCAGCTACCTCTGCTAAGGCCTGTTCCCCATAACTGCGTGGCGCCTTAGAGGGACATCCAGACACAAACCTTAACAATGTCCACGGGGTTTTCTTGGGTCTAGTGCTGCTGGCCTTGTCCACTTTTCCTTCCTTGAGCTACTGACCTGTGCTAGCCAGGATAGGCCCCCCTCCTTGGGAGCTGGGGTTAGCTTTCCAAACTATTTTTCTTCTCTCTGTGTTGTGTTCTTCTCCCTGTTTCCTTGGTATCTTTGTAGTTTCTAGTTCTCTTAGCAGTTCCCTCCTAAATTCCAGAGATCTGCTTTTGTACTTTTTTATTTTTCTTCACTGAAAAGACAGGAGGAAGTTGTTGTCCAGGTATCTAGTTTCTGGAGAGATATATTTTGTTGTCAGTCTTTACGAGATAGAGAGAGAGAGAGAGAGAGAGAGAGAGAGAGAGAGAGAGAGAGAGAGAGAGAGACAGAGAGAGACAGAGACAGAGAGATTCATTTTGTAGTCCAGGCTGGCCTTGAATTCACATAGACCCTCCAACCTCAGTCTCCTGCATGCTGGGACTACAAGTATGCATCACTATGCCTGGCCCTTTATTCTATTTTTAATTTCCAGGACAATCTCCTTTAACATTTTTCAGAGGGCTGGCCAAATAGCTCAGCAGATTAAACACCTGCAAGCAGGTGCATGGGCTGGAGGTTCCATCCCCAGGCCTGCTGTGCTGGCCCCGGCTCCACCCCCAGGGTGCGCTGAGACAGCAATTGAGACTGGGCATTG